TATATATATATATATATATATATATATTACCCATTCTCTCTCTCTCTCTCTCTCTCTCTCTTCATTTCTCTTTCTCAGTAAATGTTTGATATATATGTTTACTTAGTGATAAGAATTTTATCTAAATTTTCAAATCGACTACGAATCAAAATTTAATCCTCTATTCAAATCTCCAAATCAAATTTAAATTAAAACTTTTATCCAAAATTTCAAATAAAATACGAACTGAAAATTCTTAGCAAACTTTTAAATTAACTTCGAATTAAAATTTTTATCCAAATTTCCGAAATCATTTATGAATTAGCGTTTTATAATTCATCGTTTATCCAAACATTCATATCAAATTTAAATTGAAAATTTCATTCAAAATTTCAAATCAAAAATATGCTTTAAAACTCTATTCGAACTTTTAAATCAAATTTGAATTAATTTGAAATGAAAAAATTTTTAAATCATGCAATAGTTATAATTTATTTCAATATTTTAAAAGAATTTTACAAATTATTATAATTTGCAAATTTTATTTTACTTTTTTCTTTTCCTTTAAATATTGATTTTTCTTTTATTACAATTTTCGTTCATTTCCGATTGTATCGTTGGAAAATTTCGTTTTTTTTTCTTTTTTTTTCTTTATCATATCACTTTACAAATATTTTTATATTTATTCATTTATGATTAACTTTTTTTAGGTGAAGAAAAAAAAAACGAAAAAAAAAACGAAAAGAAATATTTATTTGATGAAATGATAACAACAGTAACAGCACCAACAACAACAATATCAGCAACTGTTGATATTTCATTGAATTTAGTAATTACGGAAGAACAAAGTGCTACAATGGAACGGAAAAATAAACCGGAAAAACATAATGAACAATTTTTATTTATTGATGAAAATGATAAGAATGAATTACAATTAAATACTGAGCCAACAATATCAGATTGGAGTGATGTTGTTCAAATATCTAAAACAGTTATTGATACAAATAGGTAAGTAACATTATTCCATTATCATTATTATTATTATTATTATTATTATTATTATTATTATTATTATTATTATTATTATTATTACTATTATTATTATTATCTTTCTTCTTTTTTATTTATATTGGACAGGATGAATGTTATTTTTACTAAATTATTTAAATAATTATACTTAATTAGTTATGCTAAATTATTAATTATACTTAATTAGTTGTACTAAATTATAACTTACATATTTTATTTCACATTAATATATCGAATATTTTAAAAAGAAAAAAAAATTGCGCTTTTATCGATTAAAACTTATTTATTCTTTGATCATTTAACCTTTCCATTGACCATTTATTTAACCTTTCCATTGACCATTAATTATTTAACAATTTTTTGACCATTCAATATACCCTATAGCATTAATTTTCGAAAATAATAGCTGATAGAAATTATCATATTAATAGCATATTGATTATCATATTTAATAGCTGGTTAGATTTACTATTACATTTATTGCTTATTGATTATCACATTTAATAGCTAATAGATTTATCATATTTAATAGCTGATAGATTATCATGATTTCAGTTATTCATTTATTTATTAAAATTTCTTGTTACTATGATTAATTCAAATTGTCTGAATTTCCAATTTTCCATGCTTATTCATAGTTTTCAGAAAGTATTTCGAATCTTTTATTAATATTAACTAAATTAATTCAAATAAGATATTATTAAAGAAAATTATTCAATAATTATGTTTTCATTAATTTCCAAAAATTTCCATCATTTTCCTTTTTTTAATATCACGCAATAAATTTTAAATTGTGATAAAATTTAATTCAAATAGATGGATTATATGCTATTTC